CATGCTCCGCTAACCGGCGACTAAGATACTTATCGCAGGGCCGTCCAGAATAATTGCACAAATATCCACCCTGCTAATTTATGGGATCCACTACACGTCCGATAGACTTATGGTACACATATACGCGGTTTACATCCGACTTATCTCTCTATCCGGGAGAGATTACCTATGCCCTCTTCCGGTCCGCGTGTAACACCTCCGTTCACGACCCAGGGACCACCGTTCATATCCTGGAACTCTCCTCAGGAACTCTCCTTAAACCATGGGATTTACTCTTCAAGGCCTTACGTGTCCTGGAGTACATTCTTCCCTCCCCTGAGGCTGTCCAGTACCGATTAAGGTACCTTTACAAAATAAGTATGAGGACTTATTCGGGACACTACGGCTCGCCTTATCCGCACTTTTGGGTGACTCACCCCTGACCCTCGGCTTCTTGCCTTTGGCATAACTTACTCTCCACTGCACACTGTGCCAATCTTCCCCTTCCCCCTGCCGTAGAAACCTCTCACTGCCTTCTCACCCAGTGTTACCTAAGCGGGAAAATTAACAGTGGCCGGTACCACTGGCGGAAAACGTGCATATGCCCTGCGTACGTGACGGTGTGTCCCTCTTATTATTCCGGTCTGGACGTGGGTTTAGAGAAGTGCATCTGTGTCTCATACAGTCATGCTGGTAAACATTACGCAATAGGAGACGGGCAAACAAGCCGTCTGCGCCTCACAATGCCCTGTGCCAATATTGGTGGAGTAATTATTGGCGCTAACTCGTAAGAACGCGAATAACAGAAACGCATTATTGATCCAAACCTAATCGTAATCTCAAGTCCATAATTGCTGCTGCACGCATGAACCTAATCACTAGTTCTCGTATACACTCCTAGCAGACCTTGAACCGCTCTTGATTTAATCAGATGATCTAGAACCAATTAGTACGCACCGATCTGTCGTCTGGTTGTGATCCACCGTATCATAGTGAATTACTGAATGCTCAACGGAAATGACTCCTTGAAACTCGTTCGATAGCTTCTGATGGGCTACTAGTTACCTATACAAATTATCTTTATAGAGTGCCAGAATATTGTCATAGGGGTCCCTAGCCTTTCATAGAAAATATAATTTAAATCATCCTATTAGCAGTAAACAATGCACATCAAACGAAGTGCAGTCCTAAATATCAAATAGCATGTCATATTTAAAATTATGCATTAACTGTTTACGTTCTTATCCCGTTGCAACTTTCCACAACTAACCATGCTCCCATACGTGACCTTCATCTACCGCACGCGCCCCAATTACGGCTAACCCACTGCCCCTGTTGTGGCTGCTCCTCGCGCCCTCTGGCGGCTCAACGCCCGCGTCGGGAACGACGAATACCACGGCCGCCGGCTGGCGTCGCGTCGACAGTCAGTCAAGGCCACGCCGCGATGGGCGCGCCATCACTCGCGGTGCAGTGCTCGTACGTGTTGTCTCTTCTGGCCGGGTAGATTCACCGGATATGTCAGTGAGTGTGAATCTGGTAAAATATCGCTGCAATATTTTCCTGTTCGACATTTCATCAGCTCCGTTCAACGTAAGTGGTTAAGAATTAAATTCCTGTCCCATTTAATCTTTCCCAACAAGGATAGTCTTTTCTAGTATTTATTCTACAAAAGCACAACGATCGGTACCTATATTAGTCGCATATTAGTCCTAACCACAAACAATTCTACATCTACCTCTTACTCGACATTTCGCCACTTCAATGACGCAAAGTACAAGGACCATCTAAAGTTGCAAAGTGTAAAACCGTCGACCTCAAACCACTACTCTCAACTCTGCACCTAAGTAACAGAGAAATTCCGCCGTAAGCTCAAGCATTCGTATCTGTCGAAAATCATAACTCATAGCCATATTCATAGATCGATTGCATGAATCAGTCGCCACCTTAAACCATTACATTCTTTCAACCGTATTTACCTGTTCTATAACCGAATGATTTCGACTTCGCAATTAATTCCTACAGCAATATTACCAATGATTTCGCAATGCAACTTTTAGTGAGTACAGCACGAATCTAAACCCTCAATTTCACAAACGTTCCAATCTCAAATCGCATCCGCCGATAATAAATCGAACGAACCAGTTTAACCAAAGACAAAGACATTTCAACGCTGTCACGCATCCTGTCATCAATTTCAGCGTTCGAGACACTGAGCTGCTTATTCAAATTTTAGCATCCCGTTCTCGACCGAATCGCGATGTATTCCGTACTCCAACTGACAATAACGTATTTACTGGCGGCTCTGACATGACCTCACAATTCAGATCCTAACGTGCTACTAGGGTGTCTGGACCAATAAGTTCAAAGTAATTTAAGTTTTCCAATTCCAATTGAGAGTGCATTTTATGGCAACCGAAAATGTTTGGCAGTCGTCACGGCACGGCAGGCTGGGTAGAGGGGGGGGGGGGTCAAGGATCGGGATTGAGCAGACTTTTCAACAACACTCACATTCTGGAGTTTCTCTGTGCTTCCGCTTCTCAGTGTGGTCGCAAGCGTCGGCGGCTGTCCTCGGTTCTGATCGCTCGAGCTGAAGAGGCTTCTCGCGGGTGACCCCGGACTGACGGCGGCTCCCAGAAGGCGTCCCCGGCTCCAGCTGCAGACTGTGACTCTCGGCTGCTCGACTGTGATTCTCCCTCTGGTTGGGTGGCGCACCCTTTTATAGTTGGGGGGAGGGGTGACTGCCACGCCCTTGCGACGTCATCTTCCTCTGCCTTCTTCTGGTGGGTGGGGCCGTAAGATGGCGCCCTCTGTCCTGTTTAGTCACCTTGCTCCTCTGTGCCTGCAATTTTTGGCCGTCGAATCGTCTTCGTGTTGAGTGCTTTATCATTTTAATAATCGCTGGCATAAAACAATCCCCGAAAGGTTTGTGATTTTCGAGTTTTAATTTTAATTCTTCAATTTCATTTTATTCAAACTTTTGTTTCCTTCCGTTTCGTCTGCCGGCAACGCCCCTTGTGACGTCACTCTTGCTCCGCCCACCGTCTCGGGCGTGCCGTAAGTCAGCGCCTTCTTCCTCTGCGGAGATCTCTGGAACTACCTCATGAGGCCATTGTGAGGTCGGTCACCCGGTTGTTTTGCCAGGTTCACTCACCCTGGGTTGCTGTGCCCGACAAAGGAGGCTGTGTGCTCCAGCCGGCATCCATCCTTGACACTGCTCCATGATCTGTTGACATCTTTTGCTGATGCAGCGTTATTTGAGGAGGTTCGAATCGCTCATCCTGCGGTAGCTGTCTCCATAGGCGGGCGTCGTAATGAGAGTTTAACGGTTGCCCATTGCGAAGACCTCTGGAACTACTGCGTTTTTGCTTGCCATAGGATCTTCCTGGTTGTGCCATTCCCACCATGTGACTCAGCGCGGTGCAGCTGTTGTGGTACCTGACAGAGTACGTGACAAGTGACAGAGTACCTTAACGTGCTCGCTCGCCGCCGCCGCCGGCCGCGGTCCTGACGTAGCTTGTTGACTCAGCTGTGCCTCGACGGTTCGTACTGATGTAGGCGGCATCGTCTTCCCGCAGATGTGTCTACTGCGGCTATTCCCACGGACAGTGCTCGTTGCGGGAGATGGAGAAAAGTGATGTGTGGGGATGGTGGGCCTGGTGACTGGGGGGGGGGGGTGAATAATGAGAGGGGAGGGGAGCGCAGCAGCAGCGCTCCGCTCAGCTGTGCGTCACCCGGTAGCAGCGATGGGTGAGTGAATGGAGGGGCCTGTGACCGGACTGCGAGGGAGAGGGACTGCCGGACCGAGCCGTGGCGAAAAGATATTACGTTAAATGTTCAAGATGTAGCGTGCTACAAAAACACGCTGATAACATAAATGGATCGCGATCGGCTCACTGCTGGCGGGTCGGGACGAAATCTGGTCCGAACGTCGATTGCAGCGCCACTAGACGGATGGGACGGTACCACTAGTTCGGTACTTGGCCGCCAGTCATGGTCCTCTGCTGCCGACTCTAAGGCTAAATAGGGATCAGTCAAGGAACAGAGACTTGTCTCTTATTGATGGAAAACGGGAGTATTTTCCTGTACTAATGACACTAATACTATGATCGAACTCTAACGCATGCTATCAGGGGTGTTTTTGTACGGAATCGCTAGGAACCGAGGACGTCGGAGCTTCGCAAACCAGCCTTAGTAGTAAGTCGTCAGTTGTTTTAGGATTTCGGTCTGCTACCACAGCCTCAGCCAACTCTCTTCAATCTTCTCCTGCGGTGTCTCTTTGAGTAAACGAGATGTTCGTTCGTCTTTCCTTGCCGGTCTTTGAAGTTTGGTGTCCTATTGTAAACGTTCAATGAGGCATTCAACGCTTCACTGTGAAATCCCTCTCAAGCGAAAGCAGTCGCTTATGGGACTACATCAGAGCTAAGTGAAAGCTACTTTCGCCCGTTCTCCACCAATATTTTTCGTTTGTGTTTATATGTTCACTAGTCAGTCGAGCAATGACTGAAATTGGCAGAGCGAAGAGGACGCTTAACTCTGAATATAAGAAAGAATAAGAGTAATTTACGATTGCCTTCAGTGTGTTTTTGTAATAAAGCTTAGCTGAAAAAAGATGACAGCACGCGCTCAATCCCAATCAAGGTACGAGCTCAGTCAATCACATATGCACTCGTGAGCGCACTGAAGGGACATCGAGGGCCCCGGAGTCACCATTGCACGGTGGGTCTGGGTTTGGGACGACTCCCCGCACATGACATGGTTGGGGACGAGAAGAATATAAGGTGAGGGTCGAAATTCAGACAAATTATCGAAAGGACCGATCATTGAAGCACTGCACTATAGGAGGTTGATAAAACTTTGTAATTATAGGCATTGTTGCTGCCATTACATACGGGATGCTGTTTTGGCAGCAAACAACAATATTTAGCATGCAAAGTGCAAGGTATGCCTTTATTGAAAACACGCGCATTGTGCTGCGTCTATTTAGAATTTAGATAATTGGGGAGTGGAAGACAAACTGAACTGCAAAAGAACATACCTAAGGAAATGAGTTGCACAATGTCACTTTTATTAAACAGTTAAGGTAAGAGCGCATAAATAAAGCTGACCAGAGAAAAGGTAGGCTTAATTAAAGACCAAACAGACTGACCAAACCACTTACTTAAACAATCTGTAACTTACAACAATCTGATCAACGACCAACTAAGACTGACCGACAGACCGAGCAATCGACAGACCGGCAGACAGACCGACAGACCGACAGACCGACAAATAAACAGACCGACAGACCGACTGTCCGACAGATAGACAGACTGTTCGACAGACCGACAGACCATCAGCTCGACAGACCGACCGACAGACGAACAGGCGTGCCGCGGTCGTCATGACGACGGCTGGCGGACCGGCGCGTGCACTCGTCCGCCGGACTGAGCTCTGTCAGTCAGTCAGTGCTGGCGCCGCCGCGACCGGAGACGGGAGGTCACGCAAGATGAACCGGGCAGGAGTGATTAGTCGGCGAATTGTGAGTAGTGAATATAGACGCTGTTAAAATGGGGAATATGACGCGGCCCCTCGTGTTGTGTTTGCTGACTGGTTTTGCTCACCATCTGCATTTATCACTGTCGTATTACTTTTGATTTGAATGAATTGGATGTAATGAATGGCGTAAAATCAAAGATGGATCATGTTTCAGCATTAAGTAATAAGCTGCCTGATTTTTTTTTATAGCGTTTTGTTAGATAGTGAGATTATATAGCAAATGGATCTCAACATTTTTGTCAACATCAATCAGTATGGAAGAATGAAAGGTGTGATAATTTTTTCTTCATCATAATTTTCTCCACCACCGGCGCTATACATCCTCGTTGTCCGTCTGCGCCCTGAATTGAGTTCCGAACTCGGGTCATGCCAGAACTTCATGTAACAGGTGTCAGCCGCTTTTGGTACGATTACAGTACGTTAAAACATCGCATTGTTTTAGAAGACGAGCTTTCTTCTCCACTTGGCTGCTGGACTGGCGTTTAAACCGATGCTGTTGTCACTCTTCTCTAATTAATTGCGTTTTGTGTGCATGATTCTGTCTCACAATGATACTCTATCTTGCATTATAGGTGCACAAGTACCCGTGCACAAGCATATAACTGCAAACCCGTGCATAGTTTTGCAAAGTTCATATATCGCATATATCAGCACACCTATCATAAAATTGAAGAGGAAGAAATTGCTAATGTTCTGTCTCTATTTCTAACTACCACTCGGTAATATTTTTGCTGAAAAACATTTGTACGGTCAAACTGTTCGTTTTTCATGTGGCAAACGGCCATTCTTATTTCTTAGTATACGTGCATACCACATCCACAATCATGAACAAATGATTGCATTACGGTTCATGAAAACGGATAAAATCTTGTCGCTTGAAACGTGAGCTAACCGGTGACGTGGAGAGTCCAGTGCTTATCAGCCCATATACTGTGAGGGACCTTTTTCCGTGTCTTTATCTACGTATTGTTTACGATAGCAGATTGCTCCACAACAACAAAACCATTTTTAAGCCGGCATAAATTGATGAAAGGAGGACAATGATCTCAGCAATAAACGTCAGACGGAAAAATTAATGCATTGCGCATCAACGAAGTGAATATCAAGAAACAATCAAAATTTCTATTAAAACAGACATTTTTATTCCAGGTACAGTGGAAGCTTCATGTTTAAACGGCAGAGCTAAAACTGCAAACACATAAGTCTGTCGATCACTCAATGTATGCTCTAAGTGGCATTTGAACATCAATATAACACAAAGCCATGAACATATTTTGAAGTTCTCAACTGCCAGAAAGCACTTAGAAGCCAAGCCCTGCAAAGTTAGGGCACTTACGGTCAGTTCCACATCAATGTGCACTTTGAACAGTCACGTGTCTTTCAATGTATTGCGTAAACTAGGGCAGGATCTATCTTGTGATATAGTAAGGGATCGGTGGCTGCAGATTTATAATATACTTGGTGTATCATAATTATCACTTTTATCTCGATACTATCGCACCGAATTCGAACTGTCTTATCAGTTCAACAATCCATTATCCTTGCGCCCACACTGCGGGGATTTGGGTAAGCCTATGTATATTCACTATAGGCGTGCATTATTTGTCCCGCTTTTACAGCTCACCGTTCAGACTTCTTCCCTGTCAGACGCAGCGGGACCCTCTGACGGGCCGTGAATGGTTCACGCGGCCGGCTGTGAGGGTAGGAGTACGGTGAATGGGCCAGTTTGGGTCGGCCGAGCTGCCGCAGGCTCCTGGATGCCTGACACCGGCAGTGCACCACACCCACACAGTTAGCCACAGTGTATGCTGGATGGGTGCTGTTGCTAGTGTGCGAGTAAATCTTATCAGATATGGTCGGTCTAAGTATTTCACGGAGATATAAAAAAATCTGGGTCGGAAATGCAGACAGGTGTTTTACATGTTTGTAACTACTTTTTATGTTCACGATATAACGAGGCAGCAAAGAAGATAAAACGGAAATTGAATATGACAAATGATCACCACCTGATGAGCCATTTTGTTCCAAACACTTTCAAATAAGAATCAAATAATACGGATTTCACATGAGTTACACAAAATTCACAATATTGAGTTCCTTGAGTTTTAAAAGGAAGTCGTGCGTATTGTGCATTCGTATAAAATATAAAAGAAAAATGATCAAACAGTGTTTTCCCTCGCCCCGTTGGGGGGGGGGGGCATTTTGGCCCCCCCCCCTGTGGTTTTTCCTGAATAGCAAGAAAACGGCGGCGCGCAGCGCCGCCAAATTTTCAGTACCTTCCCGGGCATCAATTTGACACCTTCACACCAAATTTCAAGTCTTAGGTCACCTTAGGTCAGGAGTTATTGAGGTCAAACTGAGGTCATGTTCGAGCAAAAATGAGCAAAAAGCATGCAATCTTGAAATGCTAACCAAATCTACAGTTATCAAGCAATTTCAAAGTTCTTTATATGGTCTAGTAGACAAAAAGCGGCGCTACAAAACTGCTATCTCGGATTGTCAAAATTGTGGGTTCTTGACCCAAAAAAAAAATTAAAAAAATGATTTTTTTTAGAAAAACTAAAAAAAAAAATCCAAAATTTTTCCGAATTTCGAAAAACCGGTATATATGTGATAGTCCCTGCGCTCTTCTATATACCTACCAAATTTCAGATCGATATCTCGTTTTTTGGCCAAGTTATAGCGAAAAAACTGTTCAAAAATGATGACGTCAAATTTTTGAACTCAATTTTTAGCGATTCTAGACCAGGTACGGCAAAACAAAGACCACCATTGAACTCCCCGTGACGAGCTGCATCGATTCGATACCCATTTTATGCAAAAATATTAACTTTGAAATCTGACCTAATTTGACCTGACCTTGACCTGACCTTGACCTGACCTTGACCAAAACGTGACCTAAGCAGGCCCCAAAGGCTGCTTGACCCACATAATCGCATTTGTCATGTAAAATGGACCATAAAACATGTATCATACGACACTTTCATATTGTGACCCCCCCCCCCGTGACCTGACCTCTGTGACCTGACCTGGTATCAGTGACCTCAAATAGCAAAATATGTGTTTGAAGAACATTTCCCCATAGATGATTTTCAATGAAATGCATTTTACTCGATTTTACAACGCATTTCTTGAAATGCCTGTAAACGGTGAAAATTGGACCTTTGACCTGACCTGTGACGTCATCGGTTTGACCTAGGTCAATAAAATTGGGTCACAAGGTAGTTCCTTGATAAGGCTATCCAACACCGTTTGCTGCTTGTCGCTAGGTTGCGTGGTTCTCGAGATCTTATGGGGGGGGGGGCCAAAATGGGCCCCCCAACCGGGCGCGTTGCTCGGCAGAGCCCAGCGGGGCGCGGGTTATAGCATTGTCATTCACCGATATTGATCAAGGTATCTTCATACCGAAAGCTTTGTGTGTTTAAATATACATTTGACCTGTTATCATTATCATTTATTCACCGTTATAACCGTCAGCCGAGCCCATCTCAATCATGTGTGCATCTGGAGGCAGACATATGCTTGGTCACACATTAAACTCTAATGGATGGTGTGAAAAATCACATCAAACTGTGTAGCTGGGGCTAACGCATCTCTGGCGACCCCATTATAACCACCCGTTCTCTTGTTGTTCAGGCACGCACCAAGGCGTGTTCGACGGACCTGGTAGCCAAGAGCACAACATCAGTTCGGCCGCCTCCTAAAGTCCACCAGAAACCCTCCGGCAAGGGAGGCAAGGGCAAGAAGGGCAAGAAGGGCCGACACCAGCAGTACGACCTGATCGTCACCATCGACCTGGTCGAGTACGGCCTCACCGAGGAGATAGTAGCCGGTGAGACGCGTCTCCGTTCAGCTATTGACCGGTGCACCACCCGAGTGGGACTTCTTGTGGGTCGAGTGCCGCGCGCCTGCGGCTGAGGGCACTGAGCCGCAATTTGTCCGATCGAGTGGCCCAAATCTCCGGTTTAAGCTGCCCGCACTCACGGTATGACAGCGGTGTGCAGTACTCAGCAGGGAGCTGAGCTGCGAGCTGCTGCTGCTGAGCTGCTTTTTCTTTGCTGCCGGTTACATATTTGATTGGAATATAGGTATATTCGTTTTCACGAATATATTCTGTTTCGAGCATTTTTTGTTTGTTTTCGTCTGCTCACAAGAGTGATTGGAGCCGCAGGCCTGAATCAATTTAGCATTTCTTTGATAATCAAAAAATATATTCATTGATAAATATTGCATTACCCTTTTGCATGTTAATGTGCAAAGGTCCATAGAATTGCATCTGGTTAACACACATTAATCATGCTGTTTTCGTAAAATGTTTTCTTCAATTCCATTCTAAGATTACTGCCCTGTCTAGACCCTTTGGTAAGGTAAAACTAAAAGAGTGATGGTTTGGTCCCGTTCTGAAATCTCGAGTTGTTGACTGACGAGTTTACCTTTGCTGATGACTGTCACATGCTGATCAGTTGTTATTCTCTTGCAGAGTTCAAAGAGGCGTTTATGCTGCTAGACAGAGACGAAGACGGTATCATCAACATGAGTGAGCTGGGGGTGGTAATGAAGTCACTTGGCCAGCGACCAACGGGTGAGTGAGTGAGTGAGTGAGTGAGTGAGTGAGTGAGTGAGTGAGTGAGTGAGTGAGTGAGTGAGTGAGTGAGTGAGTGAGTGAGTGAGTGAATGAATGAGTGTGTGAGTGAGTGAGTGAGTGAGCGAGTGAGAAAGTGAGCGAGTGAGTGTCGGTTTGTCTGTCTGTGTCTGTCTATCTGTCTTTTGGTCCGTCTGTTTGTCATTTTGTCTGTCTATCTGCGTGTCTTTTTGCCTGCCTGTCTGTCCGTCTGTCCGTCTGTCCGTCCGTCCGTCTGTCCGTCTGTCCGTCTGTCCGTCTGTCCGTCTGTCCGTCTGTCCGTCTGTCCATCTGTCCGTCTGTCCGTCTGTCCGTCTGTCCGTCTGTCCGTCCGTCCGTCCGTCTATCCGTCAGTCCGTCCGTCTGTCCGTCCGTCCGTCAGTCCGTCAGTCCGTCAGTCCGTCCGTCCGTCCGTCCGTCCGTCTGTCTGTCTGTCCGTCTGTCTGTGTGTCAGGCTTATTAACCACTCAAAGGTTATACGGTTCACTGATGAGTCCTGTTTGGTCCGATAAACAAGATCATAAGCTCTGATTAGCTGGTCGGCGATAAAACTCTTCAGGTAGCCCTTGGGAAATTACGGCCACATAGCCAATGCAATTTGACAGGCAACCTCCAATTTAGGAGTCAGATGTGACGAAATCGATATCATAGTTTCTGAAAAGGGATGCCTGCTACGAGCCTGTTGCTTGTAGATACCATCTAATAGATTTGTGCTGACCAGAACGTGGTAATGATTTTATATCCGCCGTCTCATTCATACATTTTTGAGGAGTGTTTCCTCCCAGCTCACGCTGCTTTCAAAATAAGTCGTCCCCGCCAATCGGCCGTTCCTGTGGCGTATCACAGTCGCAGTATCACGCGGGGTGACCCCGGGGCCGCCGTATTTTCTAATTACCCCCGGCCGGCCGGCGGCTGCGGTGCGGCTCTCCAATCGATGTCAGCGTGGGGCGCGGCTCCGGCCGGCGGCGACGACCGAACCGACTCATCATCTGGCGTGTCGACGCGGTGAACCGGCCGACGGCGGATATATGCCGGGAGATCAATAGCGCAGTGGACGGGCTCGGATCACTGCCGCGCAGTATCAGTAGCCGAGCCGCCGGCTGCTACTGAACTGATTCAGTTCAGTTGAATCATGCCGAACTGGCTAGGAGGGTTCATTTGAACTAGCCGGCCACACACCGAACTGGCTCAGAAGGTTCAGTTCAGCTAGATCACATTGAAATGATTCCGATGGCTCAGTTCATTCGATTCATACCAAACTGGCTCGAAAGGTTCAACTCAGTCGGCTCATACTAAACTGGCTCGTGAAGTTCAATTCAGTCGGCTTAGATTAAACTGGTTCTGGTGTATCAGTCCGTCAGGCTTGGATGGCTCAATACAGCTGATTCAACCCGAGCTGCCTCTGCTTTTTTTTTAGAAAGGCTCCGGTATGCACTGACGTGGCTAAAACCACCTCATTTCTTTTTGCCAGAAAATCTATCTTTGGAAGGTAAAAGACCGATGACGAGATAAACCAGATTTCAAACGGGTTGATCACTGATCCACGCTTGATATTTATGGATATCGTACCTAACTATCGTGTCCTTGTGTTGCAGCCACGGAGCTCAGGCAGATGATAACAACAGTCGATCAAGAAGGAATGGGGCAAATTGAGTTCAACGAGTTTCTACAAGTAATGGCAAGAAAGATGGCAGGGATGGCAACAGAAGAAGAACTCAAAGAGGCTTTCAAGTACGTATTGCTTATTCTGATCATCTGCTGTTGAAACATAAAAGTCGCTGCCACAGTAAATGCGCTATTACAATGCTGAAAGAAAAACAAGGAATGCGTTCAAGGCTGCAATACGGGTCAGGACGTGCCACAGGATATGAAATATGAAGCAGCGCCACTGGTGCTGATCAAGGGTAAAGTGGCTTACTTTTTAGAGCTTTTTTGGATCGGCTACTCTTTTTATTCAATGACACGTCTTCGTCTGATTCTCAGGGTGTTTGACAAGGACAAGGACGGCTTCCTGTCCGTCTCGGAGCTGCGGCGCATCATGACCTCGATGGGCGAGAAGCTGACCAAGGCGGAGGTGGAGGACATGATCTCAGAGGCGGACAAAAACGGGGACGGCAGGATCAACTACAGAGGTCCGTATATCAGGCGCCTGACCATGCCGCAATCATCAGCTTGTGTTTCCTGCTTCCAGGGAATACAGTGATTGCGGCTGGTACTGTGATTGGACAATTGTCAGTGATATGACCGCTGAAAGACCGTTCCGAGAACATATTATTCGTTCTTGTCGGAGTCATTATGGTTGTATTGATGTCATTATCATCCATGTGACGTTTCCAAATTGATTGCATTTTTCTTTTAACTTCTCTCAGACATTGACCGAAGGGAAAAGTCTGCTAACAATGATTAGGCCTATGGGTCCTTAATTCATTTAATGTTTTTGGCATTTACAAACCTAATAAATGTGGGATCTCATAATGCACGATGCCTATCAGTAGCGGCGGAACACCTTCAGTTAAGGGGGGCACTGACGACTTTTGGTCCCATTCTTTCATGCAACGCCCATAGGGCTAATGTTAACCCGCGCACCGACGGGGGTCTGCGCCAACTTCGCACCGACGGGGGGGGGGGGGCGGATGACCGCCCCCCCCTGAGATCTCGAGAACGAAGCAAGATAGCGACAAGCGGTAAACGGCATCGGATATGCACGGCCAAGATCTACAATTTTTACAAAGGTCATTTTCAGGTCAGGTCAAAGATGACGTCACAGGGGTCGAAAAAGTCAAAATGGCGGCGCTAGATATGGAGAGAGTTTTTCTCGAATAACTTTCAAATTAGTCAAGATAGGAACAAACTAAGGGCATCATCGTGATCCTCTCGTCAATCCGCATCGAATGATATATATGTTGACCTCGAAAGGTCAAGGTCAAAGGTTGACCTCAGGTCACGTGACCTCGAGGTCATCATGTATATCATTCGATGCGTCTTGACGAGCTGAACACAATGAGACCATCCACGCGTCTGTATCTTGTTCCTGTACGGAGTTATTGGCCAAAAACCTTTGGTGACCTTTGATGACGTCACATGACCTCACAGCTGCCCAACAGCAAAACAGACCTCAAGGTAGTGAAGGTTGATCGTATATGAAGTCATGTAAAGTATATGGGGCCATTCCGACCCGTTTTAGTGGTAAAAACAGGGAGTTGATTTTTCCCCCATTGACTTATAATGGGGAGGTCGCGAAATTGACCTGACCTTAGGTCACCGATATCAAAATTCCGAGATATACAAATTGTAGCTACTAATGACCTAATAATATCCTGCGACTTTCAAAGGCCTCCGACATCTACTGTAGCTGTGGCACGGTGACAAAGTTGCAAAAAAGTGACTTGAGGTTGGGTCATTCAAATTGACCTGGTGATCTGACCTTAAAAGGTAGGAAGTTCAAACTTGCACACCATGTGTAAAATTGATGAGGTTATAGCCATACCAAATTTCGCGGCGCTACGCGCCGCGGTTTTCCCGCTATTCGCGAAAAACCTCAGGGGGGGGCGGATATCCGCCCCCCCGGTCGGTGCGCGGGTTAACCCGCGCCCTGCTGGGGGGGGGGGTGTTTGAACACCCCCCTTGTGGTTTTTCGCGAATATCTCAAAAACGGCGGCGCGGAGCGCCGCCGTTTTTGGTACACCTTATCATACATCAATTCTACACATGTTGTGAAAATTTCAGACCAAGGTCATTCAAGGTCAGGTCACCAGGTCACTTGAAGTGACCTCACCTCATAAAAAGTTTCAATGTCTGTCATAGCTACACCGAGTGACCGATCGCTTTGAAACTTTCAGCGATTGCTAAGAGCTATAGCATGTACAAAATGTACATCTCAGAATTTTGATATCGATGACCTAAGGTCAGGTCAATTTTTCGACCTCCCCATTATAAGTCAATGGAAGAAAATTGAAATGCGCCTATTTTGGACGAAAGACATTATAAACACTCCCAAACACTGAATTACAAGTGGTTTAGACACACTGAACATGAAAATGGTGTCCGTGACCCCTGTTTATGCCCTGAGGTCATCTTAGGTCACGAATGGTATCTAGCAGTTTTTCGCAAATAATTTTTGATAGAGGCATGCTAGAGCGATGAAAACGCCTTAGATGTGTTCAGCTCGACGACACGGATCGACTGATATGCAACATGACCCTTTCCGGTCAGGTCATGACTTTGACCTGATGTCAAATTTTCAAGTTGACCTTTCAAGGTCAAGTTATAGTTCATTCGATGCGTCTTGACGAGAGGAACACGATGCCGGTAAAAGTAAGCTCGTACAAGGCTTGGGTCAAAAGTTATTGCAGAAAAACTGTTTCCGAAAAAATCGGCTATTTTTGCAGTTTTTGCCCCCTGCAGGCAAAACCGTTGACGTTAGGTCAAATCTGAGAAAATTATTCAGAAATGGCGTTAATAGGGCTATCGAATGCGCTTTTCCGCGGCGCTGTAGCTCTATTGGTTCCCGAGTTATGCGTTGGCTTCTTGGAAATTGTCGACATTCGACCTGGAAATCGGCGAAATTTTGCCTTCAATGACCTCTGGTGACCTGACCTTTGACCTGACCAAAAAATTGACCGAAGTGATTTCGTCATTATTTTTGACGCTCTTTCGAACGCCGCCTTCCGCGTATCGCTACGTGGCCCAGGAGCCGAGTTAGAAGGGGGGTGTTCAAACACCCCCCCCCCCCAGCAGGAAGTGGAAATCCAGGACCCCCAGCCGGGCGCGGGTTAAAATGCCCAAATCAAAGGGGGGCACGGTGCCCCGGTACCCTCCCCGTTCCGCCGCCAATGAATTGCTAACCGTCCACGATCTTATTTTGTTTCAATTTGCATAACTTAAAAGTGAAAATATGTCTTTCTGGCTTTCGGCGGGATTTTTAATGCAAGCAATCATCATTGCATGAAACAGGTAGTGAAAATTAAACAGCAAAAAGTACACATTTTTTGCATAGATTACGTCGTTTCATCTTGAATTATAACCTTTCATATCACCAAATAACTTTAAAAAGTCGCAACGGCAGTTATCTATTATTTGGACTGACACTTGCTGTTCTCGGTTTCAGAATTTGTTCAAGTGCTGACGTGTGGCTCGTAGATGACGTCAGTGCCTCAGCTGAGACGAGGTGGCGTCACAACCTCTGACAACGTCACTATCTCCGATGACGTCACGCCCTCAGAGCTGACCCCAGCCGGACCGCAGTGCTCCTAAGACAGGACCGCGCGGTGCAGGCGGCATTGCCCGCCGGTTTGGACATTCCGCGCAGAACTGGACCCACTGTCCGGCTGGGCCGGGCCGGGCCGTTACAGGTTTATGTATAATGTGTTCCTCTTCTCGTCTCCGTGCTTTCACGTCCTTTTGCCTGTCTCAGAGCGGCAGAATGGTGTTGACTGTTGAGCGAGCAACTGCCCATTGCTGAGGCGCCTGGAGGCTAATGTTTCATGAGCTGCGTATATTCAAGGGACGAAGGACAACTAGTTATACACCTAGATAATTTACTCTCTTGTTAGTCGGGAACCGAGGGTATTGAAATTTTTCAAGCTGCCTTATATGTTAAATCTCTCAAAGACAACTAATAATTGTATTTTACGTTATAAGAAACGAAATAAGAAATAAACACGATGTCCCGTTGATTGAAACAATTACGCTTTAAACGTTAGGAATGTAGTTCACTGTGAACTGTTTTAAAATCAAAAGAAAAGTGTCAGTGTGCTTGGATGCTCAAATGTTGATCCTGTTAATCTGTTATGACAAAGTAAGTTATTTTTCAAAACGCGACATTTAATGAAATGAACTTGAGTTCATAACTAAAATACATGTATGAAATTTGAGATTCATAACAAAATATCGCGTTTGCTGTTCATTAGGCATAATTGCCATCTGATTCAACCTTGCACATTTTGCATTACATAGTCAACGTCATGTCGTGTAATCTTTGAATTATACACGATGTTCGATAGATGGTTCGGCTATTAAACAAAATTAAAAAAATTGGATGAGTGACAATTTGACAGTGCATTCGAACCAGAGCTAGCTCAATTTACTTAGCTTTGTGCTATGAATTTTCACCACCTTTTCCTCAGTACATGCTGCGTATGTACTAAGTATATACCAACGAGAAGACCCACGAGGATCCACTGTCGAAGTGACTGTAAATAGAACCCCGAGAAACCGACGCGCCCCCTTCCGTACCCCCTCCGCGTCGCGCGCCGTGTAGCGTCGGTGTTCTGTGTTCAACTTTGGATGTTATACCGTAGAGAGATGAGCGCGAGTGTCTTTGATGTTGGCAGCGCGCAGGGGTGACCGAATCGGTCACTCTTCTCTGCTGTCGCTGCTTTGCGCCGTGCACGTTTTCAACCAGCCTTCTGCAAGCTGCAGTGACTGAGACCGATGCCGCCTTGGCAGTTCATGCTTCACGCTTTCTTGTGATCTGCGCGATACGACCGACCAAAACCGGAACCAGAAACTGCGTGTGACCTTCCTGTGACCGGCGACCTTCCTGACCTCAGCTGTGCTGCAGGTCACTGACCCTGAACGGCCGTTGACCTCCAACAAACCACTGACCCTGACCGGCCGCTGACCTCTTGACCCGGCCGCTGACCCCTGATCTGTCGCGGTCGGAGCCGGGCCGCTGCCGGTCGAGATGTAACTCGTCAATGCGCGTGGCGTTCGTGTCCAGACAGCTGTGATAGAGAAGCTGGGCGGGCGGGACGGCTCGCCGCTCGACGCCTGTGCTCAGTGCCCCGTGTTGAGTGTTGTCCGACGCGCCGGCGACCGGACATGCCTTCCGCTCTCTGACCGCTGGCAATACACAGAAGACGCCGCGGTTGTCGTCTTTGACCTGTGAGTGACCTGTGCCTGAGACATGAGCCTCGGTGACCTACTGAAGTGAGCACGAAGGGTGCCAACAGTAGGTGAGTTAAGACAAAGCTGTGTGCCTGGATGACAGACACAACTTTTCAATTTACTGGGCTACTTTCAAAGTCAGTTGTGCGTTCGTATTTTGTTGCCACGATCGTTTCACATTTTCCGGCTCTCACTCCGCCACCGCTGCGTCCACTGGCGCCCTGCTGACTGACACGACTCTGCTCGGTACGGTGGGGTGGGGGAGGGGGTCGCGGTGGGGGAGCAGATGTGACCGAGGTCGCCACCGATCGATCCGACTCTGGTCAGCTCAGACCGACTAGTGCCGGGCGACCCTGCTACCGTCCTGTCACTAACTACTTAGTACCGAGGGCACCGCTACCGTTCTGTCACTTATCAGCGCCGTGTGCACAGCCATCGTTCTGTCACTAATCTGTACCATGGCTACCGTCCTGTCACTGATCATTACCGTGGGCACCGCTGCAGTCCTGTCACTAATCCGTACTGTGCGGCACCACTACCGTCCTGTCACCAATCAGTACCGTGGGCACAGCCACCGTCTTCTCACTAATCAGTGCCGTGTGGAGCGTCCCGGGACTAGACGATTGGCTGAGGGGATGATTAGCTGCATTCTCGACCTCCGTGGAGGACAGAGAGTCTAGATGAGAGGAGAGGGCAAGATGAGCTGACCGGACCGGCGGCGAGGAGGAGAGCTAGAATGAGGAGAGGACTGGATGAGGAGTGGCTCGGAGCTGGGAGGATAGAGAGCTCCAAAGGAGGAGAGAGGACCAATAAGGAGTGGGTCGAACCGTCTGACAGATGATTAGAAGCTAGTGGTCACTGGGGACAGGATCAGCCACGGGGCAGAGATATAAGTGGAGTTCTCAGAACAGAAATCATGGAACCTATGATTGGTCGCTGATGACAAGAAGAAAATATGAATGGAAAATAAATTGGACAAGAGACATGCCAAGGTCTTACAAGAAGGCTCAGTCAGGCAGCATTCGCTAAACCATAAAAGACAGGGAACATTTTGACATTTTATGTAAGCAAGCATGTACTTTGAGCTCCGGAAAGTGACCAATTTCGGCTCCACTCGTGCCTAAGTGTCTCTTGTACTCTGGCGAGATGACCCAAAGTTTTCCGTCGGCAGCCATAAAGGTCGCACGAATATGAGGCTATAGTGGTGCCTCAGGGTCGCAGGGATCTCCCTATTATCTGGTACACAGACCTAAATTGAACCTGTAAATTTCACCGCCGTGCAGAAGTTACGCGAAAGTACTGAAACAAGCTGATCCCGAAAGACGTTCGTGTTTATGGCATTCTACAGAAGTTGAATAGCAATAGCAAGCAGTTAAATCGGTGTCTTTATCTGCCACTGTTATGTCTCTCATAAGTTCCGCCACCTTTCACATTTACATGTGTACCTATAAATCACTTGGCTAAAGTAGGGGTTGTTTCTACGTGAAGGGTCCATGCACCACTCATTGCGCCTTTTTACCAAGTTCTTCTATAAATCCGTGCACAGAGTCCATGTGAACTCCGTGATACAAGTCTAGCCGAGATGGCACTCCAGTCGGAGTCGTAGCCGTCGTCCGTCGTCCGTCGCCACCGACGGCTCGTCGCAGTCGACGATAGTAGTTCAGCGCCGGCCGCCAGGTGGTGCTGTGTGGTATATACTTACCGGGGGCTGTAGAAAAGCAGAGCATAGCCTAGCTATTGGCTATAGCTAAGCTGGCTATTGCACAGCGATATTGACAGCTGGCGACGAAACGTCTAAACGGCGCGTATAAAGCGCCACGGAGGAAAGCATTATCTTCACACATTTGAACTATGCAAACATTTGTATGATTCTAATTTTATTTTCCGTCTCAGAATCATCCCATGTTATGGCAAATACCCATGCTGGATATTTCGGAGCTGGGCACTTACAATACCTGGCGGAAGGCATGTGCGCAGCTGCAATATGTTACACCAACTATTCATTCTCGCCGAAAATAAATAAATTAATACAGGCGTCAAGCACGCTTTCACACCTTTTCCTCGTTCAGGCACATGAAACTGCGGCGTCCGCACCATACGGTCATCAATACAATCGCATATTACAAAAATATCGAGCCGCAAAACGGTTCACTTATAGACTTCAATTACGAAAGACATGTGTCTTATCTAAGGACGGAATACATCACGCGGGCGGCACAGGAAGTTTACGGACAACGTTTCTATCGACAGTGTTGTCGTTGTTTTTCCAGACTGCGCTATAAAAATAGGCCACAATAAGACGTAGAATATGAAATGTTAAGAAAAGTAACGTTAAAAAGGCACTCTTGTTTGACATATCGGCGCCAATCAGCCCGCTTTTAAAATATCCATGTCGGCATAGTCCTCCGATTTGAAAATGTCCCACTCCCATGGTAGTCCAATCTTATCCTAATTCCTAGTAAGGGACACAGGTAACCTTGCGCGGCAAATTCTGCCGGTCCGCGCTCCCCACAGTCGGAGCCGACAGCACAATCCCCTGACTAAACCCACCCCTACCCGCTACAACACCGCAAAGGCACCAGCCCGTGGGCCTCTGCACATAAACAGTCCGGCACACGATCTCAGAACGGGACTGTTCCGACCCAGGGACGCTTCGACAGGGTCACTTCGCTCGTTGTCCTGACGCTTGTGGTGTAGTCTCACTATGTCCTGTCTCCAAGTGACAATCTCTTCTTGTCTGTATGGTGATGACATCGATTCACATGCTCAATCCCGGCGTAGTGCCCACATCACTCTCGCGTAGTGCAAGGCGTAGTGCTGGCATAGTGTCCAGTCTAGATCACACCACCTTCGCGACTGCGTGGATTCGGAGTCTGTCCAGTTCACTCGTGGTTGAGCTAGACTTTGAGCCGCGATAGAGCCGTGTCTCTCACCAGACTTGTGACAGCTCAAGAAAAAAGTGAGCTCGCTCAGCTCAACTCCGTCTTATCCGCTCCCGCTCAGCTCCCGCTCAGTTTAACGCGGCTCAGCTCAGCTCACGTTCCGCTCAAACCGGCTGCGCTCCGCTCACGCTCAGCTCAGCTCAGCTCAGTTTTCGCTCAGCTCAGCTCAGCTCAGTTTTCGCTCAGCTCAGCTCAGCTCAGTTTCCGCTCAGCTCAGCTCAGCTCAGTTTCCGCTCAGCTCAGCTCAGCTCAGTTTCCGCTCAGCTCAGCTCAGCTCAGTTTCCGCTCAGCTCAGCTCAGTTTCCGCTCAGCTCAGCTCAGTTTCCGCTCAGCTCAGTTCAGTTTCCGCTCAGCTCAGTTTCCGCTCAGCTCAGCTCAGTTTCCGCTCAGCTCAGTTCAGCTCAGCTCAGTTTCCGCTCAGCTAAGCTCAGCTCAACTTAGTTCCCGTTCAGCTCAGCTCAGTTTCCGCTCAGTTAAATTCAATGCCACCCATTGCCGAATGCCGAATGCCACCCATATCTCTGTAACGTGTCGGGGTCCGGCCAATGACGTCACGGCAATGCGTGTGCTGATTGGTCATGGACATCGAATCATCGGGACACAGGTCGCGACATCACGCCGCAGTGGATAAGGATACCAACCGAACGGCTTACAACGGTGCGAACGGGGTGCAATAGAGCAATGTAGCGATTTCCCGACCGATCGCTTCAGTTTGCGGTGTCGAACTACATGGCCTTTCACCTAGTGACGTCTTTGGTTTGTATATAATATTATTTCCAGTTTATCATGTTTCTAGTGTTAATAGTGTATCAATATTCAATGCACATTGCATTCGGTTTTATATTTTTATCCGTTCTCATCATCTTCCAGTGTACCTACTACCTACTAGAACTGGATCAGCTCAGCTCAGCTAAATCAGCTCAGCTCAATCAGCTCAGCTCAGCTCGCTCAGCTCAGCTCGCTCAGCTCAGCTCAGCTCAATCAGCTCAGCTCAGCTCAATCAGCTCAGCTCAGCTCAGCTCAGCTCAGTCAGCTCAGCTCAATCAGCTCAGCTCAGCTCAGCTCAGCTCAATCAGCTCAGCTCAGCTCAGCTCAGCTCAGCTCAGCTCAGCTCAAGCTCATTCAGCTCAGCTCAGCTCAAGCTAATTCAGCTCAGCTCAGACAGCAGCTCAGCTCAATGCATTACTGAGCCGGCTCAGCTCACAGCTCAACAATTTGGCAAAATGTTGAGCCGGCTCATGAGCTGAGCTGATTTTTGAGCCGGCTCAACTGAGCTGATCACAAGTCAGTTCATCAAGTCTAATGCTACCACCAGTCCGCTGGATGCTCGGCACCCATCGACATAGCAAGTGCATCAGCATACACACACTCACACACGAATGCTTATATAAATCACGCGTACAAGCTCGCACTTTCAACCCTTTCACCTAAGCACGCAGACTCACGCACATCCACACTCATATCTTGGCATGACTCATGGCTGTGTCATACGAGAGTCTCTGGGCGGCGACAGCATCATGCTGCAGAGTTATTCAACATCCAGGGGTATAAGTCCTTCAACCTGCCGCATACGCCTGCAGCAATGACCCAACTTCGTGTCAGCCTGGCCCGGAGGGCGATAGCCTCATCAGGGGACCGGTAGCCTCGTCACGGGCCCGGGCTCCTCTCCTCGCTCTAGCGGTGGCGTTTAGCCGAAGTTCTCGAAGTGGTGGATGAAGTAGGGCTGCTTGCGGCCCTTGTTGACGTCATCACATGCCGTGCTGACCGACTTGGTCAGCGGACGCGGGCCACAGCTGAACACGCCGATCTTGGAGACCTGGCGGTAAACGGAGACAAGGGTCAGAAACTGCCTGTTTAACAGCCCGCAGAGGTACCGAGATAGGTTAACAAGACGTCAATAACAACAGCAGGGAGGTACAGGCAGCAGACGCAAGTAATCCTGAGAGTGGTTATTTGAAATTTCGCTGACTGGGCCAGTCGTTTTATTCCATTCGGTCAGTTATTATATCAACATGACAAAGCAAGCCTGCCACACTAT